ATACAGTTCTTCTTCAGCAAGTCCTCACTGCTCTACCTCCCAAACAGATGACAACTTTGCCCTCCTCTTCCATCTCCAGGGCCATCCTGGCTCAGGCCACTGTCATCTCTCACCTGGATGACGGTAGGCACTCTCAGAGTGGCCCCCTGCCCCTACCCTGCCTCCTCCAGTCCACGCTCCATACAGCACCAAAGTGACCTTCCTAAAGTGTCGATCATGTCACGCCTCTCCTTTGTTTAGACCCTCCAGTGGTTGTCAACTACCACACCTGCAGTAAAATCCCAGCTGCTTACCCTGAACCTGCAGGAGCTGGCCCCGGCCATCTTCACCTGTCCCCACAGCTCGCTGGCCCGTCAGTTTTCTGAACCCAGCACGCCCTTTTCCACCTTGGGATCTCTGCACGGGCTGTGCCCACCCCTTGGACTGCCCTTCCCCCGTCTCACAAGATGGCTCCTTCTCTTCCTAGGGCTCAGCTTCAGTTACCCATCCTCAGTTGGCCTTCTCTGCCCCCTGTCCCCACCTACTCTCTAGCTAAGCCCTGACTCGGGGTTATCCACAGCACTTGGCACAACTCAACAACACTCCACACGTGTGTGCATTTATTTAACGGCCATCTTCCCCACTAGTATGTCAGTCAGCTCAGGGACCATGTCTGTTTTGTTTGTTGCTGTATTCCTGTGCCTCACACAGGGCCTGGCCCTCAGCAGATGATCAATAAATACGCATTCAGTGGATCAATGTGTGATGCTGAGCTGCCTCTGAGTCACTTAGCATGTGCTGTGGCGAAAGGAACAAATCTAACTTCCAACCGTGTACCCACAGCTCCACCCTTCCCTGGACAAGAGCTGCCCCCCACTTTCTGTCGGAGGAACAAAAGAACCTAGCACACTCTTCTCTTCCTTACCTCCCTCCTGGCTGGGCCTCTCCCTCTCTCACGTCAGTGTTAAGTCAGCTTCTCCAGCTCTGCCCCATGCCATTACCTGAGCAGTCCAACGGGAACAGGAGACAGACGCCAGAGCTCCCCAGAAGGCCAGGAGGGGAAGCTGTGCATAACCACACAGTCCTGTCTGCCCCTGATCCCTGTGGGGCTGTAGGGTCCTGTGGCCTTGAGGTCTCTGGAGCAAGGCCCTGGGGAGAGGGAGACAAATTCTTTAGGACTGTTAATGAGTCTTCCTTCAGATAGACACACACACACACACACACACACACACACACACACACACACACTCACACAAAAAGAATCACCTAGCTCAGGGGCCGGCAAAGTTTTAAGACGGAAGAGCCACCAGGGGTCGGCAAACTGTGGCTCTTTGGGTATGTACATGTGGCTCTGAAGTAAAATTGAACATGAAAATAAAACTATCATAGTTTCATTTATAATACTACTTTAAATTTTCCTTATTTGTAAAAATATATTTATGGCTCTTGAATAATTTTTAAATTGTTGTGAGGGACAGGATTGGCTCTTCCAGGGGTTGGCAAACTTTTGAGACAGAACACACCTGAAGAGCTACATGTGGCTCGTGAGCTGAGCCGCAGTTTGCCGACCCCTGGTCTGGCCCTTCTGAAGGGCTCAGATGCTAGAAAGGAGCCTAGAGCTGGGAGCTGGGAGGCCTGGATTTCTAGTCTGTGCTTCAACATGGACTCGCTATGTGACTTTTTTTGCAAGTTCCTCCCTGTCTCTGCAGCTGTTGGTGGCATGAGATGCTCACTGAGGTCCCTCTGGCTTCCCTGTGCTGCTCATCTGGCCATAACTCGAAAGAGCAGCTGTAATTGGCCCTACTGCCTCCCCCAGGCTGTGTGGCTGGAAAGGAGTTCTCCAGTCGAAGGCCAAGCAGCCCCTCCAGGCTTGCAGCTGGTACAGCCAGTAACTCCTCTCAGGCCCAGAATGGAGGACACACGTGGGCACAAGGGCCTCGAAACCATCAGGAAACCTTTGTGTTGGGCAGCGGGTGGGTATAGGGATGCAAAGACGATTTTGGGTCTGTGCAGAAGTCAGGAGGCCTGGGGGGAGCTCCAGTCCTCACAGAGAGTCTCAAGCAAGGCAAGGCCCTTCTCTGGGCTCCATTTCCTTGATAAAATTAGGGGGTTTGATGAGAGTCTCAGGATCCTTTCAAACCCCAGATTCTTACAGTCTTTACCATACCCCACATTAGAGGTGGCCTCCTACAAGTACATAAGTATGTGGGAATGTGTGTGTATGTTTGTCGAGGGGGGCACATATGGAACAGAGGAAGGTGGCAACCATTTCAAATTTTGAAAATAATTATCTGTCTGGAAATTTCTTTACATCTCACCCAACTGGTTAGGTTTGCAGTCGCAGGAATCCCCAGAGCTTAGTAATCTATTCACTGAGCACATATTAGACATGCTTTTCTAAATTCAGGAGAGAGTACAGGACACAAACCCCGGCTCTCCTGGGCTTCCACTCCGCCAGAGACACACACTAGAGGGGACGGCCTGTGCCAAGGCTCTGATGGAAGTCGGCTGCGCCGTGCACATAGACAGTATCTGTGTGGTTACTCTGGGGTAACCAAGAGGGCAAGGCCTCTCTGAGCTGCTGGGGGCTGAGCTGGCAGGGCAGTAGCTTGGTGGTACACCGGGTGCCGGCAGCGCCCGTAGGCAAGCCCGGCCCAGGACTTTCTTGTTCCCCGGCATTGCTCCCAGCAACCAGAGCAAGCATGGCACATGGCATGTTGAATGACACAGGATTCAGAGAGCTTATAGGACTTGAACCCAGGTTGTCTGTTGAGGTGGACGATGGGGTTCTAGGCACCAGCCCGCCAAGGTCTGAATCCTGGGTCTATCCCTTTCGGGTTGTGTGCAAATGCATATATTGCTTCTATTCTCTGAGCCTGTTTCCTCACCTGTCAATTGGAGTCCCTCCCTGAAAAAATAATGGTCCCTACCTGAAAGGGCTGTTAGGGGGGATTAGTCAATGCTTACGAAGCTCTTAGTACACACTGTCGTGTTGCTAGGATAATTATTGGTGTCCTGCCACCGCCATCTCGAGTGTGCCCTCACAGCATTCTCGGGTCAGAACCAAGAACAAAAGAAATCATCATTGCGGTGGCGGGTTAGCTCAGATGGTTAGAGCGCAGGCTCATAACACCAAGGTTGCTGGTTCGAGCCCTACATGGGCCACTGAGTTGCGCCCTCCACAACTAGATTGAAACAACTACCGTATTTCCCCATGTATAAGACGCTCCTTAATTTGGGGGCCCAAAATTTGAAAAAAAAATGTATTACATAAAGTTATTGAACTCAAGGTTTAGTCATCATAAAATTCATACAACTCCTCATCACTTGTGGGAAATGCAAGTTAAAAAAATCTACAACCACTGTATAAGATGCACCCAGTTTTTAGACCCCAAAGTTTTTGGAAAAGGGTGCGTCTTACACATGGGGCAATACGGTACTTGACTTGGAGCTGATGGGTTCTGGAAAAACACTGTTCCCCAATAAAATTTCAAAAAAAGATCATCATTGTGGAGGAACCCAGGGTGAATCCACGCTAGGAAGCAGGGAGGAAAGTAACCCCCCACCCCCACCCCCCGGAGAAACAGAGAAAAGGTCCAGGAGGCCAGGGATTGGAAAGTACTCAGGAGTTAGCTGCTGCCCCGAGCCTGCCCTTCGATTCTGGACCCTCGGTGCCCTCTGCCTCGTTAGGAAAACATGAGTCCTTCTGTCCTCACAAGCTGCTGGAGGCTGGCATGAGGCAGTGACTACCCACACTACCAGGCACGGTACACAGACAAGACCAGGTCTCTCCAGTCTGCAGGGTGGGAGGTGGAGGGGAGATGGGATGGAATTTTTTAAACCCACAGCGGGGATGGGAAGGGGGAAGCGCAGTCTTGTTCACCAAAAACTCGGCACGCTGGAGTTACAGGGCCCCCTTGGAGCACAAGTGAGGTAAGTTTAGGACAAATCAAAGGCAGCGTGCTTCACCCAGCAGGGGAGGACACCGATGGAACTCATTACCCCAAGATGTGGTCTCAGCTGGGAATATAAATAGCTTCACAAAAGGTTTAGATAAATCCATGGATGACAGCTCCGTTCATGGGTTAGAAGGGGAAGGGAGCTGTTTGGGGCCTGCCGGCCTGCGGGGAAGACCCCAGGGCAGCAACCTGGCCTCCCTAAGAGCACCCCACGTGACCCCGGTTGGAGGCAGGCTGCAGGCCACAGGGACCCCAGGAGGCAGCGTCAGTGTTCCTGCAGGCTGGAGCCTGAGTCCACGGGTCGGGTCACTTCCTCAATCCCCCCAGGCCCTAACACTTGCCATTCGTTGTTTGGGGAGACATGAGCACCACCAACTCTGGTAAAGCGTCCTGGCCGAGCTGTCCCCTAAGGGACCAGCAGAGGGAGACAGACACCGTGTCCAGTCCCAGCTCCCAGACTAGAGCCCGGCGACTTGGCCTCGGGAGGGCAAACCAGCGCCCCTGGGTCCCAGCTCGGTGCCCACACTGTTCTCGACTCCTGGGGAGGGAGGGTCTGCGATGGGCTTACTACAGTGGTGGGGAGGGAGGGGGCAGGGGACACAGACTTCAGGAAATGGGGCATGGCAGGGAGAAGGTCACTAATTAACAGCAGGGTGGCTTTGGAGCCATCTTGCCCTCTGTCCCAGGAGACTGCTGAGCCCCTGGCTGGCAGGCGTGGATCTCTACAGGTCCACACTGTTCCATGGGGCACATACAGGAGGTGCTTCCGAAAGCTTCGGGGGACAACTGGACCCCAAAGTTCTGTGTGCCAGCTCCTCCCCAGCCCCAGTGCCAGTTCCAGGCCAGGTGTGGCTTTCGCCTTCTTGCCACTCAAATTCTCCCCAGCCCCTCTCAGAATTTCCCCCTGACATTTCCTTCTGCTGACCTCTCCTTTCTCCATACCACAGGCCTTGGTACACCTTGAGTTCTTGAGTCCATTTCATTTAACACATTTTGTAGCAGTCAGTGGCTGAAATCGACGTGTGCTCAGGGCACTCTGTTGAGGACCACAAGGTGACCTCAGAAAGGTGCCTTTGGGGCCCGGAGGCGTGAGCTCCTCAGAGACCTAAACCACCCACGTCTGGCAGACAGACGCCTGCAAGCCCAGAAAGGGGCTGGCACCGGGCACAGCCAGGACCGGCTGGTTCCTCTCACCCCTCCCGAGCTCACTGTGCCCTGAGTGTCTCCCTTCCGGTTCCAGTCCTCCTTCAACACACTGAACGCCCCGGGAGGCTGTCTGGGATGCCAAGTTGAATGCTCAAGAATCACTCATCGGAGGAGAGTTGAGCAACGGCCCAATTCTAGAACTCTCTAGAGTCCAGTGTCTGTGCCCTGTATGGGGAATCAGAGTGGGGTGATGGGAACAGGCTCCAGGAAGGCAGGGTCCAAAGACCAGAGAAGGCGCAGACACGTAGTCATGGGGGCTTGAAAGTGGCAGGCGGCATCACTAGCAGAGGCAGGAGGATAGGGCATGAGGGGCAGATGACAGTACTGTTTAACATCATCGAGTGGTATGTGCCAGAGACTTGACTTGTATGAACTCAATCGTCCCTTACTCTGCGGAAAGTACCATTAGCATCACCCCTGTTTTATGCAAGAGAAAACTGAGGTGCAGAGGGGACGAGCGGCTTGTCCAAAGTCACACACCTAGTCAAGGTGGAGCGGTCACCCTCACTGGTGTCGCTTTCCCAACAGTGCAGACACTCGGGTGGGACTCCCATCACGTCGCACCGGGGATGGCCCCAGGGAGGTGCTGTCTGTCCTCTGACCCCCTGGGCCCCGAGAAGCCCAGACAGTCTGGAGGAAGGCTGCCGGTGTGGAGGGAGGGGACGGGGCGGGAGGAGCCGGCAGTGACTCAGCAGGACAGGATAAGGATCTTCCAGCCCAGGGAGAGGTAACCCCACTCCTCTGCCAGGGGAGACGGAGTCACAGAGCCCGAGGCATGGGTTGGCCAAGGCAATGGAACATCCTGGGAGAACGCGGGGGGAGCTCCTGGCGGGCAAGGGAGAAGTTGAGCACAGGCAGGGGGTGGTGGGGGTGGTGGGGGGTGTATCCCTCTGCCCCTGCCCTCCTCACATCCCCACCACCCAGCCGCCCTTGCAGACGGGGCAGCTAAAGCCCGGCTAGGGCAGGGAGTGGCCGCTAGCAGGGCCTGGTTCCTCTCGGCTTCATGGGGAGGCAGGTGGGTGCGGTGTCCTCAGGGAGGCCTGCACTGGTCCAGGTGTGGGTGGGGGACGCAGGGTAGGGTAGGGCCCTTGCTGAGGCAGGGAGGCCCCGGGGTTTCCGCTGACATCATGGCCGACTCAAGGTGAGGCAGGGCCCTCTGGGCTCCTGCCCAGTGGAGGGAAAGGGGAGGTGCACACCCCGTGCCTTCCCTTACCCTCCTGCCCTTGGCCCCAGGGCCTGTACATTCACACTGGATGTGCTCATGTAGTGGCAGAAAGGCACTCCTCCCAGGGACGGAGCCCAGGGGGCCTCCTCCTCTGGCCCTGACAGCCCAGGGAGCTCGCTGAGGCTCCCTAGGCCCTACCTGTGCAGCCCATACAGTCTGTCCCTCAGGAAGCACGGGTCCATCAGGCCTGGTTCTACAGGCAGGTGGTCCTCTGACTCCCACTGCGACGCTCAATCCATGGTTCAAACTCTCAGCTCCTGGAATCTGCAACTCCAGCTGAGGGGATTAGAGCACTCTTGGGGTGCCGCCTGTCACCGACCCAAGAGGGCGATATGGGGTGCCGGCCCAGCACGGTCAATTCATATAATAGGCGGTGGGTGGTCAGTGGGGGAGCCCAGGTCTCTGCTCCAGGCAAACAGGGCCTCTTTCTGTCTCAAGGAACGTCTTAGTGTCCTGGAGACCAGGCATGCCCCAGGTTAGATACCTCATAGCCAGGGGACGCTGGGCAAGTCCTGCGGTGTCTGGCACAGCTCTCAGCACCCAGCCTCTTCTCCTTTCAGGAGTCCCCTTCCTCAGTGTCGCTGCCCCAGGTGTGCACCAGCGCGGTGTAGCTAAAAGGGCATGGCACCGAAGGCAGGCAGTCCTAGGCTCCAGTCCCGGTTCTACCGCTTGTGTTACCTTATACAAGTGACTTCATCTTACCAAGCCTCAGCTTCCTCACTTATAAAATGGGGAAATAACAGTTCCTATTTTATACGGTTAAAGTAAGAATGAGATAACATTGTTCACCTAGATCCTCAGCACAGAACTGATACGTGGTGAGAGTTCACTATGTTGAAACTGGAGGCCCAAAGGCATAACATGTCACCTAGAAATGCCAGGCAGTGCAGCAGGCTGGCAGAGTTGCCACGGCAGGTCCCTGCCTCTCCTGCCTGCACACAGGTTAGCTTCCTCCCTGCCACCCCACAGCTCATTCGGGCTCCTCTCTGTGTCAGCGGCACTTGGCATGGAGTAGGTGCTCCTGGAATGTTTGTAGAACAACTGAATGAATGAGTGAATGTCCCTACTCAGCTCTGTGGGCTTCACCACCATACTCCTGCTCACCCATTAGGAGGGGACCAGACCAGAGGCCTCTCTAGTTCAGGAATCTAGGACATGCAGGGGCCAGGGGTCCTTCAATGCCAGTTCTGCTGCTGCCTGGAACATGGTGTTTTGGGGCATCTGGAGAGGGGATGCCAGTTATGGGGGAAGGTGGGAGGGAGAAGTGGGACCCTAGCCTGTTCTAGAGCCAACACTGACTCACTCCCATCCCTTTGGAGGGCAGTTCGCTCATCGCCTGGTGCTAGCCCTGCCCCCTACCCAGCCACACCCCTTGGGGCCTCACCTGCCACCCAACCGTGGCTGGTAAAGCCTGGAGTCTAGAAGGCCAGCAGGCAGCCAAGCATTGTCCTCCTCTTCAGCTCACTGGCACTCCTGCCATCCTGTAGGGGAGGAGGGCAGAGCTGGTCATATTCCACTCCACAGAGAGGCGATGGGCTTGTCCCACGGCCACGCTGGTCAATTGGGAACCTGCCGTTCTGATTCCCAGCCTGGCCCTCTGCCCGTAGGAGGGAGCCCCGTGGGCTATGCCCAGGGCTGCCTCGGTGGTGCCTCCGCAGGTGGTTGCTGCTGTCCCTCCGGCCATCCAGCCACATTTCCACCCTGAAGCTCCACCTCCTCCCAGAGCTCTCCTTCCCTCACCATCCTCTGATCTCAGACAGTTTAACGAGTGTCCCTTGTCACAAGACTGTGAAATTCTTGAAGGCAGGGGTGGGTTTTCCTCTTCCCTCATCCTTTACAGGGCCTAGCACCCAGCAGGGGCTCAGGAAATGCCTGCACACACACCATGGGACAGATGGATCTGGAACTCAGGGGGGCGGTGTCTCCTCTAACCTCTGCCCTGCCCCCACCAGCAGTCCCCGATTGTGAGAGTGGGAAGAGCCACAGCGGAGCAAGCACTTTCCTGAGGTGAGGTTCCCAGCTGGAAATCAGAGGGCAGCCACCTGTGCCCCGCTGCCCCACAGGAACCCCGGAGGGGCTCGTCCTACTCGGCATCTCCTTACGTCCTTCTCCCCCCAATCCCAACAGCCCACTCCCATTTGGGGTTTGGCAGAATAAAGGCACAGTCTTTATTCCAGCCCCCACCCCAATCCAATTGGCAGCTTCTAGCCTGCTGCCTTTGCCCAGACATGGCAGAGGGGCACTGGCAGCTTGGAGATGGAGTTGATTTTCCCTTTGGCAGTGGGGAAGAGGGGGAGGGGAGAGACTTGCCCCCCCCACCCCCGTGAGGGGAGAGGGGGGAGATGCAAGTCCAGACAAGAGGCAGAGGCAGAACACGACTTCCCCCGCTTTTGGGGTCACGGCACCAAGCCCAGGGGCTGTGTGTAAAGCCAACTGTCCCTGTACCCACCTGGCCTGGGTCCCCATTTCAGAGCTGCAGCCCCAGCTTCCTGCAAACCAAAGCTTTCTAGACTCCTGAGGCAAACACTTGCTGGAGGGAGGGGGCAACATGGTAAGCCCCCCCCCACACACACACACACACTGCAGTCTGCTCCTCTTCCTCCTTGAGCTCCCGCCTCCTTCCCACTCCCACCCGTTTATTTGCCTCTTTGTGTCTCCTCTTTCCTGCCCTGTCCCTTCTCTTCTCCCCCTCCACTTCCCTCAGCCCCCACCCTCCTCCTTCAGCTCCCCTCTCCCCCTTTCTCTCCTGGCCCCTTCCTCCTCTAGCGCGGTGGGGCTGCTTTCTCCCTGACTCAGCAAGGTGCTTTATAAGGTGCTGAGGGGGCTCAGCCAAATCCAAACCACATTGTCTGTGCAGATACTCTCCACAAGGAGCAGGCTGCAAACCAGGGGAGGACTCGAGCCCTCCCCTCCTCTCCTTCCCTCTGACAGAATGGCTGCTAGGGGACCTCCTGGCTGGTCTCAGTGCCAGTCACCCACTGGGCATCTATCTGCCTTCTTGACCTTGGCTTGGCATCAAAGATCATTGGGCTCACCAGCCAAGAATGTCATTGAAACTCCAGCATTCAGGCTGGGGGGTGGGGGTGGGGGGCAAGAAGGAGGCTCTGAGCACTTTTTGAAAAGGCCCCTCCAAGGTAGGTTTCATCAGAGCTGCTGCTGGTGCCCCAGAAAGTCCCCTGCCCCCCACCCCAGGCCAGCTCCCCTTTCCCAGGTCTCTTTCTCGGTTAGGAAAAAAGAAAAAAGGAAAGAAGAGGGAAAAAAGCTCAACAACAAAGTCTGTCCCACTCCAGTGAGGTAATTGAAAACAAACTTCTTCCCCACCCCCCCGCCCCCCACCCCAGTTCTAGAAGTGCCGAAAAGGGGAGAGCTGCGCTGGGAACCCAGGGCTGGTTACGACCATGCCGCCTGCTCTGACCTGCAGGCTGGAGGGGCTGTGGCAGGGCTGGCAGGACATCCACCTTTCTCTGGGTCACCAGGGTAGGCATGGGGAACATAGGCTCTGATGCTGTTTCAGGGAGGAATCACCTTCCTGGTCTGGCCCACCACAGCTTCTCCCTCTTTGAAACAACAAAGAAACAACAACAAAAGCAACTAATTACCAAATGATTTCACTGCTGGTCTGGTTCTAGAGCACTCAAACCTTGGAGACCAAATGACTGTCCCCCAAGAAAAGTCTCGAAGTGGGGCTTTCTGCACGACCCCAGATGAGAGCGGTTTCCTCTGCACTCTCCCTGGCCGCCTTCTGTAGAGGAAGGGAGACCCTGGAGGGTCTGGGCTTATGGGTCCCCCCGGGGCGGGGGGGGGGGGGGCGGGATCCCGCCCAGCAAAGTCCCAACCCAGGCCTGAGGGAAGGAAGGCGAGAGAGCACTCCACAGCCAAACCACCCCTACCCCACCACCGGAAAAAACCAACAACCCCAAAGGCAGGAGGGAGCCAACGTCTTTATGGGGAAGCATTTCACAAATGGGGTCTGTCGGTCGCCTTCACTGGGAGCATTCTCGCTGAGTCACGGGTGAAGCCCTAGTGTGGAAACTGGTCCCGGTGCCTCGTGCCGATTAATGAATTAAAACCCCCACCCATGTGCAGTCTCCTAGCCCCTGGGAAGAAGAATGGAGACCCTTGTGAAGTTGAGAGCAAAGCCCTCCGCCAAGCGCCCTGTCCTTTCCTGCGAGCCGGGCAGAGGGCCTGTGGTGCCCTCTTCCTCCCCCGCAGGGGGCATTGTGCGCCGGTTAGTCACCTGCCCCGGCCCAACGCCTCACTTAGCCCCAGCTTTTGGAAATGGGACAGGCGGCGGCGGCGGCGGGACAATAGGCAAGAGGGGCGGTCAGCCCAGACAAAGGGCAGCAGGAAAAACACCATCACTTGCTTGGAGGCCAGCTCGCTGGCATTTGGGAGGATGTGTCATTGCATTTACTGTGGGGGGGAAGGTTAGAGACGAGGAGGCAGAGGTAGGGTGAGAGCGGGACCCGCGCCGGGCAGCGGGCAGCGCCCCAGGCCGACACCCAGGGTGAGGAAAAGGAGCGGGCGGCTCCCTCCCAGAGCTCTCCGAGTTTGCAGACGGACTGATGCCCTCCCTGCCCCCCTCCCCCAGGAGGCCCAGGGTGGTACCGCCGCAGCCTCGCCTCACCTCACCCCCCCTCGGTGTTGTAGGAGGGAGAGGAGCCCCAGAAGCCCTCCCTTCTCTCCTCCCCCCCTCCTCCCCCCACCCCGGGGAGGGCCGCTACAATTTGTGGTTACAGCTTTACACGTCAGAAAAAAAAAAAAAAGTTTGCAGAATGTCCCACACCGAAAAAAAAAAAAATCCGAAACCGAGCGAAAAAAACCTGCGAGTGGGCCTGGCGGATGGGATTATTAAAGCTCCGCCGGAGCCGCGGCTCGCCCTCCCACTCCGCCAGCCTCCGGGAGAGGAGCCGCGCCCGGCCGGCCCGGCCCCCAGCCCCATGGACTTCCGAGCAGGTAGGAGCCCGGCGTCCGAGGCCCCGGCCCCCGCCCCCCGCCCGGGAGCCGCGAGATCCGGTTCCGTCCTTCCCCCGGGAGCCCCTGCCGGGGCCGGGCTGGGGAGCCGGGCGCTGCCCTCGCCAGCAGGGCTCAGGCCGGGAGAGGCACAGCCGGGCGCCCTCGAGCGCGGCCCGGCGGGGACGCGGCATTCCTGGAGTCCGCGCGGATGGGGCCCGGCGGTGGCCCGGGGCGCGGCAGGGCGCCCCAGCGACCCGCGGACCTGGGGGGGCGGCCACCTGGAGCCCCGGCGAGGCGGGGCTCCGCAGATCCCGACGGACAGAGCCCCGCGCGAAAGTCGGAGAGTCCGAGGCGGGAGCGGGGCTGCGGGAGGGAGACGCGGGACGCGGAGGGTGGGGGTCGGGCGAGGAGGAAGGAGGTGGGAGGGAGGCAGGCGGAGGCGAGCCCGGGGCCGGGCCGGCGGGAGGCGAGGGGAGGCCGACACCTCGGGCCGCGCGGCTCTCCCTCCCCGGCCCGGCGGGAGGGGAGGGCGGGAAGGAGGGCGGGGGAGAGGGGAGAGGCGGCGGAGGGCTGAGCGGAGCCTGGCTGGGCCGGGCCGGGCCGCGC